TGGGTGGTGGCCAGATGCAGCAGGTGGGTGATGAAGATGGTCTCCAGGAGGCTGACCACCATCAGGGACAGACACAGGGCAAAGTACACACCTGAGGGAAAAACAGATTATAAGTAAATGAGGGCAGATTCATCTCTACACTTTTCTTAAGACTTTCTCCAAATCCAGTCTTTCCTTGCAACCCCTTCCCTCCTTAAGTGGAGAGGCAGCCGGTTCCTGGTTCCCCTCCCTATGCCCTGCTGCCTTTGCTTTCCTGGAAAGTGGGAAGGACCATACTGATGAGGGGGGTGCCAGTCGCTGGGAGTAAGTCATTCATCATGAGCAGGAAGACGTTGTAGCCCAGCAGAAGTGTCATCTTGAATGGGGCACGATTCTCGCTTTCTGCCGGCAGATAGAAGCTGAGGGCGTCGATAACAACCAGAAAGCCACTGGGCACCAGGAGGTTTATGACGTAGAGGCTGGGCCTGCGCCTGATGGCCACCTGGGGGGAGGAGAGATTGTGGAGAATGTGGCAAATGTACTGATGTCAGAGAGCATATATATATTTTTTTTTTCTTTTTTTTTTTAAGATTTTGTTTATTTGACAGAGAGAGAGAGCACAGACAAGTGGGGGAGCAGCAGAGGGAGAGGGGAGAAGCAGGATCTCCACTGAGCAGGGAGCCCAATGTGGGGCTTGATTCCAGGACCCTGGGGTCATGACCTGAGCTGAAGGCAGAGGCTTAACCCACTGAGCCACCCAGGGGCCCAGAGGGCTCTTGTATATTTGACTGTAATCCTTGCTGATGTGCTGTTAGGCTGGCTGTGGGATGATGGCTTTAGGTAACACACGCATCTAATTGTGCCCTATAGAAGTGCCCTGCTTTGTTGTCTAATTTTCAGTGGTAAATATGTCCAACCTGCTGGGAACACAGCAACTGTAGACTTTCAGGGGCAAATAGGGCCCTTTGGACCAACATAGAGGTGGCTGCTCCATTCTTAACAGTAGAGCTTGTAAGTGCCCAGCTGCACCTCCTCTCTGCAGCGTGGAGGACGGGAGAAAGAGAGGTGAGGAAGGGGGAGGCTGTGGTGATCTTTCCTCAGGGTAGTTAGGATAGAGGGTGGAGTGGGGAGCAGGTGCTTAACCCCCTGGAAATTCTTTTTACATCCCAAAGTGCCTTAGATCAAGAAGAAAATCACGGAGGAACTGGGATCAGAGGTCAAACAGGGGACCCTTGAACTTACATAGAACGTGATCTGGTCATATAGGTTGCTGCCGACCAACATCTTTGGGGTGGCCTTGTTGATGCCCAGGAGCTCCCACTCTCCCTGGGTCTGGATGAGGTTACGAGATGTATCTGTTATCTCCCACACTTCCTTGTCCATGCCCAGAAGCATGCTGTCCACTGTAAGGGAAGCCAGGGACAGCTCAGTCCAGAAGTGTTCCCCAGTTTCCTGCCCCCCCAAATTAAATTCCTCTCCCACTGGGATTCTTGAGCAAAATTTCCTCTCTGTTTAAGATAAGTCATCCAGGTTTTCTCAAAAGTGGAATATAGGACAATAATTCATGTGTATGCAGGCTGTAGCTTGATTTTTTTTTTTCAGTTGGAAATAAGACTGAGTTAAAGTTGTTATGGGAATATTGGATATGACTCAAATGTGAGTCAAGAACTTTTGCAATCATTCCCATTTTCCTTCTCTATCCCCTAGTTGTATGATGTTGTTTTAGTGGAATCAAACTTGAACAGCTCAACCTTTTTATAATTACATGCATGCCCATTAGAATGATTAATATAGGGGCACCTGGGTGGCTCAATGGGTTAAGCCTCTGCTTTCAGCCCAAGTCATGATCCCAGGGTCCTGGGATCGAGCCCTGAATCGAGCTCTCTGCTCACCAGGGGGCCTGCTTCCCGCCCCCCTCTGCCTGCTTCTCTGCCTACTTGTGATCTCTCTCTCTCTCTGTCAAGTAAATAAATAAAAATCTTTAAAAAAAGAATGACTAATATATCTAAATCTACCACATGAAACCTGGTGGCATTCAGTGTTTACTGGTTTAAGCATGTTAGATATCAAAACTAAAAGTCTTCAGCTAAAAAATGTAGAGCAGGAGCTTTACAGCAGCTCAGGGTCAGATGGGCCTCATTTGGCACAAGGGCCATCCAAGATCTCAAGCAGTAGTTCTTCTTTTTTTTTTTAAGTTTATTTATTTATTTATTTTAGTAATCACTACACCCACCATGCGGCTCAAACTCCCAACTTGGAGATCAAGAGTTGCATGCACTTCTGACTGAGCCAGATGGGTGCCCCTGTAGTTATCTCTTTCTTTTTAAGAAATTTTACTTATTTCTTAGAGAGAGAGAGGACATGAGGAAGGGTGAGGGGGAAGAGCAGAGGGAGAGGGAGGAAAGAGACTCCTCGCTAAGCACAGAGCCTGATGTGGGTCTTGATCCCAGCACCCTGAGATCATGACCTGAGCCAAAGTCAGACTCTCAACCAACTGAGCCAGGCATCCCTCTCTAGTTCTTTTTTTTTTTTTTTAATAAACTTTTTTGAGGAGTTAAAGCAGTAATTCTTAACCCTGCCTGCACATTAGCACCACCTGAGAACATGTAAAAATATCAGCACATGGGCCCCACCTGGAAGAATTACATTGGAATCTCTGGGGTGAGGCATGGTTATTATTAATATTTTTAAAAAAGCTCGAGTGGGCAGCCAGGGTTGAGAAACACTGATCTAAAACCTTTCCTGACCATATACCTGTATCACTTAAATATCATCCCCGCATCTTGAATAACTAGCAAAACATGTCTTGCCCACCTGTGTAGAGGAAGGAACTGAAGGTGAGCGTGCAGTTCTGTTGGTCGAAAGGAAAGTAGAAGATGTCCAGGTTACAGATGCTGGTCACCCGCACTGGTCTGTCGTACTTCATTCGACCTTCACTGTTGACAAAGGCGGTGAGACCTGGTGGTGCTCGATCCACATCCATGCTGCTCGTGAGAGGGAGGGAGTGGGTGCTGTGGGGCCTTCATTGGCTTTTGTTTCCCTCCCTTCCCATGTCTTCCTCTACTGTGCTCCCCTTTTGGACTCTTTCTCTCCTGTCGCTCTATCTTGTCCCTTGTACGCCTCATGGTGTTCTGTGGCGGTCACTTAATTGAGGCTGTGCCCCTGTCTGAGTCTTCTGATGTTCCTGTGCCTTGCACTGACCCGAGGCTGCTCTTTGCAGACGGGCTTCATGCTTGCTTTCCCCAGCCCCCATACGCACGATTCCAAGATGAAGATGTCTGGGATCCACAGGTTTTCAGCCGAGACAGTGAGTCTTTTGAGGCTGACGCACTCTTCCGGGTTCCAACTGATTAAAGGATTGTCCCACATCTGTAGCCAGGGCAGTGGGAAACAGAGATGAGCAACGTGGAGCTTATTCAGTCAGCTCCTCTGCCCTTCCCTTTCTTCTTCTTCCAGCACTCATGCCCTAACGACCACAGCCTGTCTCCCTCCTTTACCTAGCCATGTGTTATTGGTAAAGTACCCTGTAATGGCCTTGTTTTTTTTTCCAGGCAGAGCATAAGTATATCCTAAAACCCTTTGGTCCCAGGAGCACACCAACATATTGGCCTTCAAACCATTTGGCCATTGTCTTAGATCATCATTTCCACCTTTGTAAGCTCCCCCCCAGGGAAGTGCATGTGCCCAAGGCCAGTCCAGTTCTAGATGGAGTGATTTGGTCCACGAAAGGTTATAGATTTAGTAGAGGTTGGGACTAGGAAACCCCTACATTGCTCCTCAAATTTATACTACAAATGGAAGTGAGAAGGGGATAGTTGCATCTGCCTTACCAAATTCATCCACAGGAATGATGTCAGAAGCTGAAGCTGTGCATTCTGGTAAAGAAATTCCCATCCAGGATTATTAGTACAAAAATACTCTGCCCATGCCTACCTCGTATTCTTACCAATGTTTACTAATTTATTGTGTTAGACATATTTCTAGGTGCTCAACTGTCTTCCTTGCTTGTCTTCCCTTGTATCTAGGGGCAATTCAGGTTTTAAATGACATAGACACTTCTTCCTGGAACATTCCAGAAAGGACAGACTCAAGAAGGAATCCTTCCTGAAAAAGTACCACTACAGCATTCTTCTTTATGTCTCCCCATCCCATAGGAAAATCCTCTAATTTGTGCAGAATCCATTTAGAGGATCTGTTGTTCACCACTGGATCAGAACAATGTTGTGTTGACAGGACAGAAGATCCTTATTCCCTATTAGAAAAATGGAAAGTGGGGACCAGGTCTCACCACTTCCAGGATGGCAGACAGGGTGAAGGAGATGTTGACATGAGTGGGGATGCTGTTGTTGACGACTGGACGGAAGGCCTTTCTGTCAAACACTGCTTGGAAGGCAGCAGGATCCACCCCGTACTGGTCAAAGCCAGAGCAATTGATGGTGACAGCTTCGCCTCTTCCTGTAGTGAGCAGAGACCCTGTGAGAGAGGGCCTCTATGGCCAGGGCTGAAGCCTCTCTGCAGAGAGAAAACAGGTGACATACTGGGAGGGTGGTGAGCCCTCCTTCCTGGGCCAAGATTCACCAAGGCCAAAGCCCTTCCTGCCAGGCCAGAGAGGACAGGCTGACCTGGTAGGCAAATGGTGGAAGTAGATGTGGTGAGCTTGACCAGAGCTCTATACTCATTCCTATTGTTTCACCATCATGCAAAACCTGACCAAATCTGTATGTAAACTTGGCCTTGGTACAATGGCACCTGCTTCAACAAGTCCTCAAGTGCACCCATCACAGGCTTCTTGGGTCTACATAGGAGCACCTCTCAGCACTGCCTTAAAACTTATCATCCAGGTCACTTAGAAATCTGCTATGGTGGATTTCTCTTCCTCATTCTCAGGGACTTCCATTTACTGAAGACAAGAACTGACTTATCAAGAAAATAAGGGAAGTAAACAATTGTACTTTCTAGGTGGATATGGGTAACATGTAGTAGGCACTCCGAATTGGTGTGTACCAATTTATGCTATGCATTTATTTTGCCCTTCTCAGATTTAGTGACTTCAGATATCTTGGGGCTTATTTCCAGCATTGGGATAATTAGGTGATATCACTGAGGTTATACCAGATGCCAATCATATAGAGTGAGACCTGTGCATATGTTATGTTGTCTCTTGGCTATGATCAGGGGTCATCTTGGTAGTACCTAGGCAGAATCTTTCCCCATTTCCAGCACTGGGTGATCTTTTGCTCTGCTTGCTCCTCTACAACTCCATCTTTTTCCATAATATTCAAGGCATATTCAGACTAGGAACAAATATTCCCTCATGGAAGCAAAGCATCTACTCCTACCTCAGGTTGATTCCTACCCTCCCTCAGTGTTCTACACTTACTCTTTCATGGCGTGTTTAAAATCTGTGGCTACTCTTCTCACAGATACCATACCAAGGGAAGAGGATAGGGAGAATGAGATGAGGGTGTTCTGGGAGGGACACTGGAAGTGAGGGAAAAATTGGTGAGGTGGTGAAGTGGGACAGTTTAGCAGATTCCTGTATGGACAGGAATAGAGAAGGCTATGTGTCCTGACCAACAGAATGTCTTTCCGTCACACACACGCACACACACACATCGAGACAAAGATATTAGGGAAAAAACTTAATATGTGAATTCTGAATGTCCTCCAAGTGCTGCAGGGAAGTTCCTAGATGTCCTTGAGAACCACATTCTGGTCTTCCCTGTTCTTGCCCCATCTTACCTGGAAGCAGAAGGCTGACAATGAGGCAGAGGAGGACTCCCCCCCTCCAAAGGCCACCCCCCTTCCATCCTCTTCTTCTGGCCTCTTCTCTGGGGATTCATCAGGAGCCCCCAAACTGTTGAGCTTAAAGGAGCTCAGACCACACCTTGATTCCTGGTTTTGAATAGTGCTCATGACAGGTGATCACTCCCTGGTGAGAGGCTGTGGCCAGAGAGATCACATCAGAGTGTCCTGCTTTGCCCCTGTGCTGGTATGCCTTCCGGGCGCCAGGCAGGGGTGGAAGTTGGGCCAAGACTAAGGGAGAAGCACCTGTTTGGCAGCAGTTTGCTGAGATCAGTAATAAAATAACTTGCCTTAATGAGAGGGGTGAGGCCTGGGGAAGTAAGAATTAAGTTCTTTTAAGACCAGGGAATCTGCATATTTGGAAAGGTGACAATATTTAGTGATTTGGTTATGTGTTCATTAGGGATAATTGCAAATACCAAATTTTTTTAAAAGTATTATTTATTTATTATTTATTTATTTATTTATTTATTTGACAGACCGATCACAAGTAGGCAGAGAGGCAGGCAGAGAGAGAGGAGGAAGCAGGCTCCCCGCTGAGCAGAGATCCTGATGTGGGGCTCAATCCCAGGAGCCTGAGATCATGACCTGAGCCGAAGGCAGAGGCTTAACCCACTGAGCCACCCAGGCGCCCTGCAAATACCAAATTTTAAAGCATAATTCCTGCCTTCCTCATCCATTGTCTATATTTTTCCAACAGCCCCTAATAAGATTTCCTCCTTTTAATCCCTCTGCCTTTCCAATTCATTTTCCCTAAACCAAATTTTCTATACCTTTTTTACCTTATGCCTTTATTACATGATAATATAAGTCACAAAATTAAGGTAGCAGAACCGTTTTTAATGTCTTTGTGTTATCAGTTGTGTGATGCATTATCATAAACTAGTAAACTCAGATAACGTCAATCTTAATGGCAATGGTATCAACATTATATCTTAGGTGCCATCTCTACAGAAAACACAATTGGACCAAATGAGTGAGTTGGAGCATTGTTCTGTTAAATATCTTAGTTACATTTCCAGAAAGATGCTTGGAAATTTTTTTTCTTGCAGAAAGGGGGAAGGATCAGACCTAGGATACAAAAGAAACTTTGTTCAGAATGGAAGATTATGGGACGCCTGGGTGGCTCAGTGGGTTAAGCCTCTGCTTTCGTCTCAGGTCATGATCTCAGGGTCCTGGGATCGAGTCCCACACTGGGCTCTCTGCTCAGTGGGGAGCCTGCTTCCCCTCTCTCTCTCTGCCTGCCTCTCTGCCTACTTGTGACGTGTCAAATAAATAAATTAAAATCTTAAAAAAAAAAAAAAGAATGGGAGATTATGACAGCCCTGAACAGAAAGAGCTGAGGAAGGCAGTAATGACTGAGGGGCCTGAAGTAGGAAAGCACAGGAGAGACATATTTTCTGTCTAAGGTTTGAAATACCTGCAGTGCCTCAGCCCCACCTGCTCTGTAAGGCATTTCTTCCCTGTTTTGGAAACTTGGCCAGAGGACTGGGCCATCATGCCACGTAGCACCCAAGTACTACTGTGTCTATATCTACAGGGATACACCTGGGGGCTACTGGGCTCCTGGATCAGGTAAGAGTAAAGGACTCCCAAGGACACTTGAGTTCCACAGATAGGCTGGCTACCCGACCTTAGGTCTAGGAAAGGAGGGTTAAATTCAAGCCCTGATGAAAGGCAGCTGAAGACTGTTGATGTGTATCTGCCTTTATCAAGGCTGGCCTAAAAACTGAACCCAGGTCTATAGGCTAGACTCAAAAGTAGATCTGGCTGCCAGGAAATGCATATGATGGAGGCAGGAGTAAGGCCTCTCCTCTCTTGCTCTGTAACCTCATGAGAAGCAGGAGGCACGTCTTGTTCTCCTACCCATTGTGCCCCCACCCCAGTGGGTGGCATATAGTAATTAGCAGTCAATAAATGGTAGTTAAATATCGGTTCCATCAGGTCACTATGGATGGGGAGAGACACACGGGCACTTTGGGCAGATGTAGGAAACGTGGTAGGGAACCTCATGGGAGTCCTGAGGCCACATCAGAGAAGTTGCTTGCTATTCCCATGATGTGGCTAAGGTGTGGGGCTCCATCTTGGGTGCCGCTTGGTAGAGATGAGGATTGGCAGATGTACAGCAGGTGAGATACAGAGGCCTAGAGCCAGGGCCCAGCCTTTTATTTCTGACTGCCTCCTGTCTAAATTTCCAATAAAGGCCTAACCAGAGCTGCCATTAATTGAGTTTGTGCCGTGTGCCCTGCGTTGTGGTAGGCACGTTACTTACGGTATTCTTATCCTCCCAAATGCTTGGAGTGGTCAGTGGTATTACTCCCATTTCCCAGATGAAGAAAATGGAGGTAAAGAAGCCAAAACTATCGTGCTCAGTGTCTATCCAGGTAGAAGTAGGTAGAATGCAGATTCAAACCCAAGTCTGATTCCATTGTTCTTTCCTTGCTCTTTTTATTACCCCATAGCTGGGAAGTCTTTTGGACTGGATTATAGGCCCCTAGTTTCCCACCAGTGAAATTCCTAGGCCTAGACAATGCTTGGATTCAAAGGTGAATAGTGGGGGAGCTGTAGTTTTGCAAGTCACAGACACCAGTAACTTTCTCCTTAGCTCATTCTAAGTGGGTTCATAATGCATGATCCCACTTATCTGGGACCCTGGTGGATCAGGTTTGAAAAGATAGCTATAACCTGGCAAGGGCAGAATGAGACGATGGAAGGGGGAAATGAGAGCCATTTGCAGCTCTGATAGATGGCAGTCACCCACAGAGGCCATTGGCCAGGGGTAAGGATCCAGGAGCAGAAAGGCAGCTGGAACATCCAAACTGCTGTGGGTCACTAGCTGGGGTCAAGCTGGCTATGGTGTCTGGAACAGGAGAGAAGGAAACTCTTGGGACTCTGAAACACACCTGGAAAAAGAGTCCCATGGACAAGTACTCATCTGAGCTGCCATTTTGACAGGCCCAGGCTCTGACCCCAGGCTTTCTTGAAGTATGACAACCCCACACGTATCACTTCATTTTTCTTGCCTAAAAAATGAGGGGGCTGAACTAGAAAGTCTGTAGCCTCCCACCTAGAAGTCGATTTTGCACAGTAAGTCTCAGTCTGCATGATAAATGGATGCTCTCTTGTGCATCACATTTGGCTTTCTAGTTTCTGTAAGCTCGTAAATGATTTTTAATGCATATTTTAAAAATAATTTAATCTACATCATTAGTTCCACTTCACAAATGAAATTTAAACTTGTGGGGTGAGTCCTCTTGTACAAGTTTTTACCCAACAAATAATGTGGTCAGATTAGAACCCAAGGTTGCCAGATTCCAACATCTCCCTATCATACCCCCAAACCCTGTCCCTGACATTTAGAAGAACCAGTGCTAATGAATGATCAAATAGGAGAGGTTATCGAAGGGAGGGGCAGAACCTGGAGGAGGGATGGACTCCTGAGTGGCCCAGTCTGTTAAGTGTCTGCCTTCAGCTTAGGTCATGATCCCAGAGTCCTGGGATCGAGGCCCTCATCGGGCTCCCTGCTCAGCAGGGAACCTGCTTCTCCCTCTGCCTGCAATTCCCCCTGCTTGTGCTCTCTCTCTCTCTCTCTTACTCTTTCTGACAAATGAATAAATAAAATCTTAAAAAAAAAAAAAGAAATTGGAGGAGGGAAAGGATGGGCTTGAAATGAAGTCTGTGACTTCACATCCCAGAGTGGACCTGAAGGAGGAGGAGAGCGAGGGAGGAGGATGAGATAATACAAGTGAATGTCAGGTTAATATGGAGCTGAAAGAAAATGTGGGAAACATGGAGAAATACTGCCTATAATGGTTTAGAGAAAGGAAGTGAACACAAGTGTGTGCCAGAGCCACAGGTGGTAATTCAGATGAATGGACAAGGTGAAGGGCTATGCTGCAGAGGCAAGCCATCAAATGCAAGCTAGCCCAGGTGGGACCAGTGGCCTGTCAGCAGATTTTTCTAAAGATTTTCCTAAATTTTTCCAGATTACCTTGCAAAGCCTTTCAGAGGCTTGCCCTGTAACAAGAGGAGAGTCATTAGCACCCAAGTGTGCTTCTCGGAGGATTCTGTTATAGATGGAACAGAAATGCAACAACCTTATCTGTAAATTTTCTGGGAGAGTTATGGTTTCAAGGCTCCACGTGATTATCCCTTGCGTGTTAAGATCTTGTGCTCAGATTTTGCTTGTGGAGAAGATAAAATCACTGTAATTATATTATGCTTTCTCTTACTGAGAGGGGATCTAGTTTCTTAATTCATGTGTCAAAAAAGACAAATTGCATATCTCCTGTTCAAATAAAACAAAAAGCTATGTGTCGGGAAAAAAATGTGAAGAAAATAAGCAGGAAAATATGTACCATGAAGATGGGCGGGAAAACGAAAATGCTACAAATTGATCTTAAATAATTTCAGAACCCCCTCCCCCCACAAAGCGGGGTCAATGAGCTTCTTAGCAAAATCAAGAATGAGTTTCCAGGTGAGATGACCATCTTGGGATAGGGCATAAGAGTAGAAGATCCCAGGACCCTGAGACTATGACCTGAGCTGAAGGCAGAGGCTTAAGCCACTGAGCTATCCAGGTGCCCCATACCCTGTGCAGGTCTCGTCCTAGTTTGGAGGGCGGGGAAGCGGAGGCTCAGAGTCCAGTATCTAACCCCGGCTCGGTCACTTTCTAGCTGGGGTACCTGGGAGACAGCTCAGTGGCTGTCACTTCACCTCTGTGTTTCATTTTCTTCATTTATTTCATCTCCTGTATCCGAGTTTATAAAATGGGGGCCATAATACAAAACCATAGCACTAAAACCTAAAGAGCTTTGAAAACCAAATGATTTTTCATGAGTTATTCGGTGGCAAAACCTGACCTGAACTGATGTGAGACTATCCCTAATTTCCTTTCTGCTCCCTACTGTGAGTACTCATAGATTTCACTGCAGAAACGCTCATGTGTTTGATTACAGGGCATTGCCCCATACCCCATACAGTACATGCATAATTATTTCCTTTT